TCAAATTACGCTGGAAACTTTCTAAACAAATAATATATTTTGAGGATTGTTTTTACTAATCACTGTTGATAGTATAGACCATGATTGAACAGTTTCACATTTATTTTTACCTTATCAGATATCACCAGCTGATTCAAAGAGGAACTATACTCTATCTGCTGTAAGGTGAACTTATGCCTGGTCTTTTTCTCAATGACATTAATTCTAACCAAGGATGCACTGCTACTAAGTTGCATCACCGAGTTTGATTAGATTCATGGACACTTCGCAGTTTTCGAAAATTTTGTATCCCTCCGATATTATTTTCTCTTTTAGCATATTTCAGTTTTATGCAAGATAGCATCTTCTATATAATTTTTGAAATCAATCCGTTAGCATCTCCATACTGGAAATATCCTTTGTATTTGGTACTTCATACTCGTCATTCAACTGTCTGTGGAAAGTGTATGAAATCAATGGCCTGAAACTCAATGTCGTTCAGTTTTGAAGAACAGTGTCACTTTTTTAAACGTTCTTTAATATAATCTTATTAATCGAACATGCCGCATACGCAAACGTTGAATGTAAAAAAATCGAATGTTGGCGTATACGATATTTGTGATTGCAAAGCTCAATTATCAAAGTCAATAAAGTTACGTAAATTTCTGTTTAATTTTTGGTCACATGAATAAATAAAGCACAAAACAAAAGCTCTTACTTCGGCTGTTCATAGTGATCATAATAGACCTAGAGTTGGTATCTCTACATGAAGTGCTAAAGCTGCTATCTCCTTGTGAATACATGTTATTGCAGGTGATCTCAATAACTTTGCAAGAAGCGTCTTCCGTTTGATCATCAATTTTGAAATTTTTCAAGCTATCCGGTACTTCTGGTAATTCTGGCGGATTTTCGTATGGATTATAGAAGCATTGGTCAGGACTATTGCTTTTAACAGAAGGCTAAAATAAAGGATAGAAAAGTTCGAAAATCGAATGGTAAAAAGCGAATCTTCAAGAACCTGTGTAACCATTATCACTGGATCTTCAACTGTTACTTCAACTTCTTCCGCTTTTTCGGTAACCGCGTCATCATTCTTTTGGGGCTTTTCCGGCTCACTTTGTTTCTCTTGAATGACCGATAAATTGCATATTTTTCGCAATATTGAATTCTTTCTTTTCAGCATGATCCTTGTCATGAATTGTTTAACGGTTTCTTTACGGGGATCTCTGTATAAACTGTCACGTTCCTCTGTCTGACTACGCTTGGTTACTAACTCTTCTTGACTTTTGCTCGTTGTTTTAGAATTACTCTGATGCTGTGTAACGGATGCTTTAGTTTTTGCCGGTATATCTATAAATTGGACATCGATAAGGATTCGCAAATTAAACAAAAGGAGTCAAGTAGCTCGACTCTCTACTTCCCACGCAAATCTGGACAAATTAACTTTGTAGATACATCACGTATACGAGCAATAGTCAACTTTTGTATGCTCTGCTCTTTATTGTTTGTCGGGTTACTAAGACCATTGGAACCTGGCATAAAGCTGTAGAGTAGAACGAATATCAGTGAAAAAAGATTTGTATATGATAATAAATATGAAATAATATGATTTTTTGGAAATCATCGAAGACACATTTCATACGCCCTGGTATTATTTGCTTGAGGAAATATACTGAAAATATATGAGATTCTTTGTTCCACAGAATATCTTCATATTCGCAGAAGACTGGTGAAAGTATATTCGTACGTTATTTCACACCTTAATCAATACAGAACAATGTTGTCAGCCCATCTGATAATTTATACAAGGTTTTCCCAGAATATACGCATAAAAAAAGTCTTGTCAAGGCGTTGTGGAGGGGTGGCCCGGTGGTTCCCTTTCTCTAAGAAGTAAGCGAGTAAGTAGGATTTACGTGTGCTGGTTGAAAGTAACCTTTTTTTACCTGTCGTCGGCATGGAACTCTCTCTGGTCGAGAAATACCGCATCATCATCAAGTTTCTTGCAAAGCTAGGCAAGAATGGTCGTGAGATTTTTGAGTGTTTGGAACAAGTTTAAGGAGACAATTCTCTGAAGGAACCAATCATCAACAAGTGGTTGAAAAGGTTTCGCGGAGGCCGAGAAGATGTGAAAGATGACCAACGCTCAGGACGCCCCTCCACATCCAGCTCTGAGGGGAATGTTGAACGAATTCGGGGCTGTGTTCTTAAAGATCGTCGATTAACAGAAATTGTTCGCGAAAATCGTTCCGAAGTTACACAAAAAAAGGGTGCTAGTCCATGAATTGGCGCTTGGGGCCTAATATCCCAGAGTCCGGAAAATGACGAAACGACCCCTGCACCACGACCTCAACGGAAACAGAAAATCTAATCACGCAGAACACGTAACGTTCTAGAAGAAGGTATCTTGAGTGGCCTTGAAGAAGATATGTTTTGTAGGAAACCAACTAACGGAGAAAAACTACAGAGTTTTTTGCTGAACGTCAACACCATACTGAATCGCTGAGAAAGAAAGATATAATACGAGTGAAATTATACAATCAATAAACTATTAAATTTGTCACAAGAAAATCATTTAAAAGGGTTTGGCCGAGGAATGGGCACTCTATTATCAATAAAGAGAAATTCAAATTACGGATAAGTAATAAATAGTAAAAAAGAGGTTATGTGATTGTGGTACGGGAAAACTGGACCGATTTTCGGAAACAACAAAGCTTTTTCGTCCTTGGCATGGTAGCAATCTTGCGTGAAAATTTCATCAAAACCCGAACGGTACTTTCCAACTTATAGACGGGCCAAGGATTAGCCGACAGACACATCGAAGGAAATGAGTGACATGGTTTTTCGTGATGTACATATATGTCATATAACATCCAAAAAAAATATCTTCGACATTTTTTTCCAGTATGCGTGGGAAGTAAAGAAAACGATAAATTAATATACTATCTTCAAAATTTTATATGATGTAATAAAGGATTGAGACAAGTAGCTAGAGACAAATTGGAAAATTTGACATCTGTCGTTCAATATAACACTATTGAGACTAACACATACCGTTGTTACTATGTTTACGTTTTTTCTTCACTGAAATGTCCGAGCAACCATCACGAGATTTTCCAGCTTTTATTTTTTGCACTTTTAGACTTTTCGTTTCAGATTCCCGTTTCAAAAGCTTTTTTCTGGGTGAGGTGTTTCTGTACACAACTTTAACGCATTTCGTTTTTCTTCCCGAGCTCTGTGATGATCTGCTTGATACTGGTTTACAATGTCCTGTTCCAACGGTACTTTTACTGCCTTTTGCATCTTTGGTCACACTGCTTACTATTTTCTTAGTTTTAATGGAATATCGCTGTCAGTTCTTTTGTTGATACAGGAATGCTTTTTGACAATTATCTTACTGTTGCTCAGTACATCTTTGGAACATTGAGAGAGCACAGGATTTTTTTGCGAGCATTTATTGCAGACAAGAGATGTTTTGGTGTGGCAATGTTTTAGCTTCGATGATGCAGGAAGGAGTTTTGGAATTCTGGATTTCAAAGGCTAAAGGAACATAGAAAAGGATAGAAAATTATATGGTAACTAACTCAAATAAGTTATATAATGTGTAAGAATGATATCGACGCACAAATATATTTTCCTTCTATGACTCGTCAATTTCTTCACAATTTATAATTGATTATTAAATTCCATCGCATAACAACTTTAACAGGGTTCCAAGTAAATGTTCGATGATTTTGAGTAGACGCTGATTTCTATCCGGAACTGAAGAACTTTGAAGGGAATAAACAAGTTTCACTAGATGAGTTCACTTACCAGTTTTGGATGTTTGACGTGAGGTATTTCTCCTCGGAAAGTGTCGTAGATTTCTGTGAGATACGTGGCTATTGTCAAGTAGTCTTCTGTGTTGATGCTTTCTTGACCTGTCATTACGGGAGGGATTCCTAGAAGAAATATCAAAATTGGAGAAAATAAATAATTGCATGGAATGGTAATTGTCGAGTTGAGTTAACAGCAGACCAATTGGAAATATATTCTACGTAAGAAAATGTCGAAACCTACAATTTTGGGTAATCTTAAGTACAAAGTTAGTTATTGAAGCATATCATCAAGATAAAGAATCTTCAGTGCCTAGTCAAATCTTTTCCAGTTACTTGTGCCTTCAGGTGATTATCAACATAGATCAACAAGCAAGATGCTTACCTAATTCCTTTTCTAGGATATCAAAGGCTAGTTGATTTTTCACAGCTGGTTCTTCAGACTTGACGGTGTTGTAATCCAACAAATCTGGTCGGTAGTGATGAATTATTGCACATAAAATGTTACCGTCTTTGAATATGGAGGCGAAGTTTGTCAGCTGAATATCTTCGTGACTTTTCAGCTGTTTAGAAAGCCACGTGAGCAGAACTTCATTATCCACATTACCTACAAAAAAAACTTGAATTACTTATGTAACATTTTTTCACAGTATTATTATAGCACCAGTAATGTCAAAAGAGATGCAATGTAGGGAAGTTTGAAAGTTAAAAAATGAAACGACCTTGTGCGCACGGAAGCATTGAATATATCCAATTTTATGGCTTTTCGGACGTTAAATCGTTTATAGCTTGAAAATGGTTACTTTAGAGAAAAGCTAATGGAAGACTTTTTCATTCAGAATGATCCAAAAAAACTGAAATTAATTGTATTTTATTTGAAAAAAAAACATTCTAAATTAAAGTTGAAATCTTGCTGTACAAGATTTTGGAGATAATTTTTTGAGATTAGTATATTTTAAGGCGATTTCAAACTTGTTTATTAGGCCAAAATTGACAAACTTTGGGTTTTAGCAGATTGTACTGTTAGGTGCATAGAATAGCGGTGTAGGAAGAGTATGAACATAGTACCGGCAAAAAAAATAGATTTACTCTCCCCACCCTCTACAACTCCCCCTTTCATATCACTACAAAAAAATTCAGAAAATGATCAGGAGCCTCCGAAACGTTAAAAAACGAAGATTTTCTTTTTCCCTTTTTGTCCCTCACTTGGCCGCTACTGGGTCGATTTTAAAAAAATACCAAGTTTTTTCGTCCTTGTCAAAGCAGTAACCTTGTGTGAAAGATACATCAAACCTTGAGAGGACAGAGTGACAGACAGACCGACGGAAACGTGAAAGTGACATGCTTTCTGTGATCTATACGTCCTATAACATGAAAAACAATAAGATTTCATTTTCGAATTTTTTCGCAATTACAATACTTGCTCGCAAGTTGGCGTGGGCAGTTAATGAAGCGTTTAAAGTTTAAAGGTACTTACCACGCCTCCTCTTTTTAGAAGCACTCTCGCTGGGTGTCTTTTCGACGGCATTCCTTTTGAGCATTCTTTCCAGGCTTGCAGCATCGTCTGTATCGTAAAGACACGCTACCTGCCTGGGAGTAACAGCAACCTTATTTAGATTTGGATACCTGCAGTAAAAACAATAAATTATTGTTCAAGAAAAATCGGTAACTTGGGCAATAATAAAAAGTTGGATACATACTTTTCTAGTCGCAAGTGATTATATACAGCAGATGCACCATCTTTTATGTCGGCATTGAAACATCGAATGACTGATATTTACCAACCGAGTGATTTGGTTATACGTGTTTCTGCAACGTCAATTTACTACAATTTTAGTCATGAATCGCTTTACACCGAAACAACGCGCCAGTCACAATGTAGTCTGACAACACTATCCGTCGTTTGGTTTTGAATTTTTTTGAGACAGTGGGAAATCGTCAACATACCGTTCATCAACGACCAAGACGTTCCAAATAGATGGTTCAAGCGAACAGAGACAGCGTTACCCAGAACCCAAAAGTGTCGTATCGTCACCGCGCTGAGCATTTTGGCATCAGTGGAACCACGTTGCGGCGTTGAAGGATGATTTGCATTTGTTTCCTCATAAGGTGCAGTTAACACAAAATATTGCCAACTGACCGTCCACGAATAAGTCGCTCGCATGGTTGATGCCGAACCTGATTTTTGGAAGCAAAAGTGACTGTTTGGGCCGGCGTTTGCGCCAAAACCATCTTTGGGCCATTTTTCTTCAACGAAAACGAAACAGTCGAGGAAAATCGATATCGGTGGATGTTGGCTCATTAGGTCTGCCCACAAATGTGTGAATAAGGTCTTGATGGTTACTGGTTTCAACAAGACGGTGCGCCATGCCACACTGCAAATGAAACAATACAGTTTCTGCAACGAAAATTCCCTGGACGTCTGATGTCAAAAAAAGGTGACATTGTCTGACCACCCAGGTCTCCAGATTTGACCCTACCGGACTTCTTCTTGTGGGGTTATTTGAAAAGTCAAGTATGCGCCAGCAAGCCCCAGACCACTGAAGAACTCAAGGCAAACATTCGTACCGCAGTCGCCGCCATACCACCAAATATGCTCGAAAAAGTAATGGAAAACGCAGCAAAACGAGCACATTTTGTTTTAACCAATAAAGGTGGCCACTTGATAGATGTTGTGTTCAAAGTTTCAAAGTTATTTCATGTTTACATACCGAGATAAAAGATGGCGCACCCTATATATATATATATATATATAATCACTTTCTCTGGACCACATTGAGAATCATTGGTGTAGAGTATCAAATACTAGGGAAATTGGGGCAAATAAAAATTTCAAAGAGCCATATCTCAGCGAAAAGAAAAAAGATGCAAACCAAACCCAACGGCGTTTAAAAACGGCAAGGCTTATACGTTGAAATGATGTCTATTTTGTTTTTAAAGAAACCATGCTACATAACCTCAAATATAGGCAAACATCGCTATTATTGCACTTTAAGATTAGGATATCTGCTTTCTGGCTAAAAATATTGTCGACCTGTGTAAACGAACAATACCAATAAGCAAAAAAATCTAATTAGACTGATAAAGAGAATATCGGTATTGTATTTTACCTGGTAGAAGGATCCAACGTATACGATTTCCAGTCTTTATTTAAGTTATCTGGCGTCGTCTGAGCTAAGAGCCTGTAAACTGACTCTCGTTCTGCGATGACGTCTAGGGATGTCCGACTTGACGAGCCCCATCCTCGGATGGCCCAAGCTGCGTCCAACGATGACAGAAAACCTCTGGCACAACCTGAACCCGTTGGCCAGAAAGGCTGCAAATAAACATTATTCAAATTTCAGTAAAGTACGCCACCATACCACTAGTTTTCCAAATAGTGCAAGTCTTTCTGCTGTTTAGGGCAATGAAAGAAAGGTCTGGTGTCGGTGGAATTCGAACCTACAACTTTGATAATTCGTACTGGGAAGTGTACTATTTGCTCTACACCACCATTTGCGTTACAATGGATCTAATTCGGCGCCCCCTGTAATCCGACATATTAAAAAATTCCGGACTATAGAGGTCCCTAGGTACTCTATAAGCCGACAATTTCGATAATCTGACATCGCCCTGCAAAACGTTTGTCAGATTACCACAAGTCCACTGTAATTTAATATCTTACAAAATGTGTTCGATTTGGATTCAGTACAGATGCTTGCTCGTCAAATTGTGGATGCGCTACTGTTATTCTAACTTACCTCAAGTAAACTGTCTCCGACGAGTATCATCAATAATTTGTGACCATTCCTTTCCAATACTTTAGAAGCATTTTCAGCGGCATACATTGACGTGAAGTCGAACATAGCTATATCTGGCTGAGCATAGTGATTTACGGCGAATTCCAAATCTGGCAGTTGGTAGTTTGTACTGAAGTTAGCTGCCTCTATTGCGTAATTTTCTAAGGCATCTCTGTAACAAAATACACGATGATTTAACAAGAAATCGCGTGGAAATCAATCCGATCCACAGCTTTGCTGATGACAGCACTCTATATGCAGGAATTCAAAGTGACAAGCCTATTTCTGCCAGTGAGCTGGATAAAGAAGAGTAGCAGCGACTTCCTCTCTAACGAGAGATCTGGAGGTTGACTATTGCTTGGGGACGCAACAATCTGATACAGTTTAATGCTTTCAGAACACAGTACTGTACCTTAACTAACAAGAAGCGCCCTAGCGCTTATCCGGTTTTGATGAATGGGAGTTCTACCAAAGAGCGGTACATTTCGGCTTTTCGGAGACCAGATTTCCGAGGAGTTGAACACATCTCGTCAATAGCGGCAGCTGCTGGGAAAAGGCTTTAGGCTAACAAGTACTTTTCTCCTCCCAAACCGCCTTACTCCGTACAAAGCCCGGATGCGGCCTAGTCTAAGTACTGCTCACATGTTTGGGCCACATTATCTGTGCTTGATGCTGCTCGGAGGAGGGACACTCGACTGATCGATCCTTGTCTAACGGACAGTCTCGGGGTCCCTTCGCACCGACGGGCCGTCTGCAAACTAGTTCTCTTCTACCGTTATGTCAATGGGCGTTGCTCCTTAGAGCTCTCCTCCAAGATGTCGCCGCGTGATGTACCTTCCAGACATACCCGCCTGACTCGGACCTCTGATCCTAACCGTATCGAATTTCGCACAGAACTGGCTGATACGACCATTCCTTTGTCCCTAGGGTACCGAGATTGTGGGACAATCTAGCTGAGGAGGCTTTTCCCAGGTCCACTATCCTTAGTTCAACGTCTCTTTTAAGCTCCTCATAGCAGCCGCGGTTTTCTGGTAAAGGGTTTTCCATTAAGGACTTGACAACTTGCTTTTTAAATAAAAACGCATATTATTGGATTGAAGTATACTCAAAACATTTACGTATGGAATTCGACCTCGATATAACGCGTTCACCAAATTTTGATTTCAATATGTTGATTGTTTCACCCGCTGTGTGGCTTTTGGCACCGTCTTGTTGAAACCACATATCATTAATGTTTAGCCCATCAAATTGACAAAAAAATAACGTTGCAACATGTCTCTGTAGCGATCGCCGTTGACTGTAACGTGACGGTCATCTTCATCAACGAGAAAAAAAAACGTCCCAATGACACCACTGGGATGAAAACCACACGATAGTTATTTTTGTGGATGAAGTGGTGTTTCTTGAAGCACATAAGGGTTTTCACCTGACCAATAACGCATATTCTGTTTGTTAACGAAGCTGTTTAGCCGAAAATGTGCCTCATCACTGAAGATGATTTTGCGATGAAATTAGTCATTTTCTTGCAACATTTTTAGAGCCCATTCGAGAACGTACGTCGGTTCATATGATCGAATGGCTTTAGTTCTTGAGTTAACTTGATCTGATAAGGGTGCAAGCCAAAATCTCTGCGCAAAATTCGCCATAGTGTGGTCTGAGCGATGCCCCAATTCTTGAGAACACCGTGGAATCGACGTGTTCTGTTCGTTTGCGACGGAAGCTTGAACGGCAGCAATATTCTCGGCACTTCGAACAACCCGTCGTCTCACTGACACGGGAACATCCAGCAGGGAATATGTGGGCTCAATTTTTTTTACTAGACTATGAATTGCTTATCTACTGGGACGAGAATTACGACCGACTCGGAATTTCGGTAGTAAATTCTAATATTTGTAAGCGTTGTTCGTTTGTGAACTTCACCACGATGAAAATGTTTTCTTTACTGAAAGTTTTGACATTGACAGTTTGGTAATTGATTTAAAGATGTGTTCACATTGAAAGTTCAAAGTTGTCAAGTCTCTATTGGAAAACCCGATACTTAGGCTTCTGCCTACGTAAGATATTACTAATACTACGATGAGGGGACTTAAGGCATCACAGATAATTCTTCTCGCCTCTCGACAATTCGGTAAGATTCCAACTTTAAATTTGTCCATTATAAGGTCAATATTGACTTACCGATCTACGTTATCCGGTGCTAAAAGCTTTTCAGTATCGGCAAGATCCTGCTTGATGACGCCTTTTTCCAAGAGACTTGCCTTTTTTGCAGTCATCACAAAGTAGTGGGTGTCGTCTTTATAATAGACGATATTCTCGAGATCAATTCGTGTCGTTTCATGCAATTCCTGGAGAAAGAAAGGTTTATATACATAACAAAAATTATTTGTCTAACAGGATGCAAGTTAATAACATTATTTCATCAAAAATTGAAAATACGTTAGGTGTTCCACAGTGCGGTATCCTGGGACCACTTCTTTTCATTTTATATATAAACGATTAACCAGCTATAGTCAAAAACGGGAAAATTCAAATTTTCGCTATGACAATTTGATTTAATATAAGAACTCAAAATATTCAGTCTGGCATCTCTTATATAAATGAAGACTTGAAACTTATTTCAAAATGATTAGCATCTAACAAACGCAAATTAAATAAAAGTAAAACAAACGCTACGTTAATTGGTATAACCAAATGTCCAAATGTTCAACTGAATATTGATGGTGAAGATATTGCATTCGTAGATAATTTAAAATACCTCGGGGTTTTCATTGACTCTCAATTGAAGAGCAAAATGCAAAAATCGATAAATACACGTTTTGTAGTTCTCAGAAAAACGGCAAAAACCTCTAGAGAAAAATCCCCGTCAAATTTAAAACTTTTTGAAACTCCATTTTTCATGAGGATTTAGCCGCTTTTGCTCATACCTGCCTTTAAAAACGGATAGAGCATGTCGAATTTAACCAAATTCCATGCCTCAAAAATCGTAAGAGGTGGATTTATCGGTTTTTGCATTTTTGCTCTTCAATTAGTAATAAGTGGGATATATTTTCACGAGGTTCTCGATGTCCGAGTTCATATAGTAGAAAAATTATCTATAACTATATTTTTCTTTCAAATCTCTTGTACTATTCTATATTTAGCTAATAATTCCATTTTTGAATGGCTGAAAATTTTACAAAACAAGTGTACGAGAATAATACTGAATAAAAATAAAAATACTCCAATTAGACAAATGCTATGCTGATTAAAATGGCTCAATGTTAAAAAAATATCAAATTATATTAAAAAATTATCAAATATGAAAAAGGAAACTCACTTATAAAGTAAAAAATAATATATTTCCATCATTTATAACTAAATTATATCAGAAATAAAGATGGCTTCCATTTAATGACCAAAAAGTATAATATATGCTACAAATCTGTATTCCATCAAGGGTTTATTGAATATAATGAATTGGACACAGAGATAAAAGACCAGAATACTTTGACAAAATTAGATTAGTAATATTGAGAAAGGACTTGTTAAATCTACAATTACAGCTTGCCCAGCATGTGCACCACATGGATTGAATTTACTAATTTTAAGCTGTTTATATTTATTCTGTTTATGTAGCCAAACTAGCTAAATAAATCATTCTACTACTGCTACTACTAACAAAAAACAGAGTCTAGGAAATTTGTTTGGAAATTTTACCTCGCTGTTCAGAGAGAGTCTACAACAGTTTTAAAATGTGCACTAACCTTAAAGAATTTTTGGTTGAATATAAAAGCTACACCACTAATTTCTTCTACTCTAGCTTCGGCTTCTGTCTTTTTGTTTATAAAATTCGCTGTAATTGCTATTGCTAATTTTCCTCTGAAAAAAAGGAATAAGAATTATTATCAACAGCAGACATACTATGGATTTTGTGTTATATTTTCTGGTCAAAATATCGTACCTGAATTCTTTTCTAGTGAAGCCTGTAGCGTATTCCGTTTACCATCAGCTCCTATTATCACATCGAATTCATACTGAGACACAGGATGGTCAGGTGGATCCAATTCCGCCCTCCAACCGATTTCTGAAAAAAAAATACGTACTCGTAATGTCAAAGATAAAAATATGATCCAGCTTTGTTGCTGGTAAAAGTAACTTCATTTTATGCTTTTTATAATCACTTTGATTATCACAAAAACTATTAAAGTCTTGAAAATCGAGCTTACTTTCATCGGGCTGTGGTTCAATTAGCCTTTCAAATCCAACTTCTGTATGTACCTCTACTCCTAGCAACAGCGCCACCTACAATTTTAAAATCATTATTACAAAATTAACTCGTGCAATAACGATAATAGGTATATAAAGCAGAAGCAGCTTTCGTATACTTTCAATCAATTTACCATATTTGATAAAACCGGGAAATGATTGCAAATAATCCTACCTTTAGAAGAATACACTGCAGCTGCCGAATACTAATGTGATCTATAGCTCCCGCGCAAAATTTTCCAAAAAATTTCTTAGCACCTAACATACGCAAATCTTCTATCACAAAGGGCCACAGGTGAAGTACATTGTTGCGGCTGAACCGATCTCTCTTTTCTACCAGAACCTGCAAATAAAAGAAATAAAATCGAAAAATGCAAAGCATGCATGGAGGACGGGAAATAATAAAACCCCGAAAAAAACTATGAAGGCTCTTATCTTTTATATAAAATCATTGATTAAAAGACAACACCACTGTAACGGCCTAAAAAAGTCATTTGTGTCATTTTTATACTGGAAGAAATGGTAATAAAATTATAATAATGGAGGAATGTACTCGTATTAAGCAAATATTCAAGCAACAAAAATTATCACCAGAAAATATTTAAAATGTCACCGTTTTTCAAATGGCACACATCAAAACTCGAACAACTGAAATTCTTTTCGTTCGAATTTTTTACAATATTTATGTAAAATAATATTTTAGAGAAATATTTTCGATTAGTCATTTTTTCGTCTAAAATTGACCTCTTTAATTTAAATACTCACCAACCACAAAAAAATCAATATTTTTAGAATCCCCTACAGATTTCTTCAGCTATAAAATATGTACAATAAGTTGATGAAACAATGAATTGTAAATATTTTGAAACAAACATTATGTTAGAAAAGAGTACGATTCTGAAAATCGCATTAAATGACCAACTTTTTAAAGTATTTGGCAAGGAGATCATATTTCATTCTTTATTAGTAAAGGATCTGGGTCAAAGTAAGACGAACAAATTGGTTTTCGTTCAGATGTTGCTTTAGAGTAGTTTTCGCTACAATGTAAGAGAAAAACAACTTACAGTGGAATACACTTATAATGAACTTGCTTATAATGGAAACCCGTATATAACGGCGGTTTGGCTATGCAGTTTGCTTTCGAACTTAGCCACCAGTGTTATACTGTATTTATCAGAGTTATAAACATGTCGAAAGGTGCGAAACGTGCATTCACTTTACACGAAAAGTTCACAATAATAGTGAGCTTGAGCAGGGTTCCTCTCAAGCAAATATATGTGCTCGTATGGCTATAATAAATCCACTGTGTCAATATTTGGAAAAAACCGTGACAAAATTGAAAATGACTGGTAATCAAATAGTCAAAAGAAAAAAATGAGGCTAGCGCTGCATCCCCAAGTCGATGATATGCTGTTTAAATGGTTTCAACAAAAGCGTTCTATAATTTTCCAATAAGTGGACCTACATGTATGTTACAAATAAAGGCTAAAGAATTTGGGAAATTGATTGAAGATTACTTCAAATGTAGTTCTCGTTGGGTAGACAAGTTTAAGAAAAGACATAACATTGTTTTTGAAAAAATGTGTGGTCAGCTTCAGTTGACAAGAACGTTACCAATGACTGGATATCTCAAGTTTGGTCCGTAATATCCAGTGATTATTCAGATGATAACATATTCATTGCAAGCAGATGAAACCGGGATATTTTATAGAATGCTACCAGATAAAACTCATAAATTAAAAGGTGAAATTTGCAATGGAGGAAAATTATCAAAAGAGCGGTTTGTGCTAATCCTTCTGGTACTGAAAACTGGAAACTATTGATAATAGGTAAGTGAATGAATAGACATTCATGTTCTAACTTTTTGATATCCAATGGCAGTGCTGCAAAGAATTTATGTTGAAACAATTCCCGTCGATTATGTTGGAAATAATAAAGCTTGGATGACTTTATCAATTTTTGAAGACTATTTAAAAAAGTAGGACGGTGAACTTGTCAAGAAAAATCGTAAAATTTTGCTCTTGGTCGATAACTGCCCCGCTCATCCAAATATTTCACTTCATAACATCAAACTTAAATTTTTTCCACCCAATGTGACATCAGTTCTGCAACCAATGGACCAGGTTGTCATTTGGATTCTTAAACAAATGTATCGGAACCATATGTTGATGAAAACTAAGGAGCTTAAAGAAGATGTCAACATTACCAAAGCTGTCACCAGTTTAGATGCTATAAATTTGCTTACTATTGCATGGAAATTGGTTACTCCAGAAATGATTCGTAATTGTTTTCGCCATCCTGGTTTAGTGAAAAACATAACTGAAATAGTCAACGATTTTAATCCAGAAGATGAAATTCCATTAAGTGATTTAGTGAAAATTAATAGTTTACTGAATATAGACAAATTTAATGAGTATGTAAATGTTGACAATAATTTAATAGCAACACAGGAATTGTCAGACTCCAATATGGTTAATGATCCATTGATAACGAACAGGAAGACGAACTAGAAAACAACGTTGAAGAAGAGCTTCCAGTGACAACTAAGGAGGCATCAGATTGCGTGAAGCAACACTTAACAAATTAAATAAAATCAACTTGCTGTTCTAAATAATTATAAAAAAAAAAACAATCTGTTCAAATGAAAATTACTAGCTTATTTACCAAATAATTTACGGTTTTTACACATACCTACACAGTACGTATGCCTGTAATATGTGTATCAGATTATTGAAAAATGCAAATTTCAAAATTACGTATAACTTTCTTGTATGTATCTTTATTTATGTAATACATGTTAAAAAAAATTAAGCTTTCAATATGTTATTTCTGCTGTTTCTTTCATTAAAAAAAGTGTTTCTTTTAAGATGGTCATCCGCCTATAATAGATTATTTGTCACAGTCCTGCCGAGTCAATTATAAGCGGGTTGTGAATATTTTGAAACAAACTCCGCCAAAAAAATAATATTTTTAGAAAAATTAACAATTTATCTCGAAAATCATGAGACTTTTTACTAAACAAAATTTTTCCAAGCGATAGGTCATATTGTGGCATATTTATCGTTGAATTTCTGGATGCCATGTATATTTGCAGTTACAACGGCACTGAATTGGGAGTGTGATGTACAATACCAAAGACTAAATTGAAAAACTAGTTTACTGAACTCACCACTTTGGCACCCAAAAGCTGTGCCTCGATAGCTGACCTCAAACCGCAAGGCCCAGCTCCTATGATGAGCACCCTGGTGTTTGGAGCTGCGCGTCCCTTGCTGTAACACTTGTGGGACGCTCTGGCATCGAATTTCTTCCATAGTGCTTTCGCTCGCCACGACGTCAAGTTCGCTCTGAGTTTCGGGTAGAATTGGGTGAATACGGTTGGCCGCAAGTGAAGGTTGTCGATTAATCCTCTGGAAAGGAAACGAAGTTGGATGACTAGCGATCTTAGATTTTTATCAGATATTGAACATAATGGAGTCAAGTAGGTTGACTCTGCATACTCTTTGTAACGCTGCCACCAGTCATAAAAGATACGGCACAAGTTGGCCCCCTCTGAGAAAATTAAATTATATATCAAATTAGTCAAACAGACTCAGACAATTGAAATTTGCGCTCTTCAAAAAGTTTTTAGAGGGAGCTACGCTTGCATACAGAATTGTCTCTTACCAAGGGATGGTTATCCATTCCCCTGAGAAAAATTCCTGCTGGCGCACATCATCAAAACTATGTGTAGCTTTGGCGTGTATGACGATCAACGGTCCACACCCTGTCGAGCAGCGGAGGCCGACTGCTACACACATGCATCAACAGCGTATGATCGACATCATTCTCTTTATCAAGTTTTAAGGATGAATGTACGGGGATATCTATAGTGAAATATATCTTATAGGTGCGTATAATTACCGCAGCTGGTTGAGTGTCAAAAATTGAGATATACTCTCCCGCAAGCTCCCAACCCCCAATTTTTTCCCTATATTTTCTTTCATAAATGATCAGGATCCTCTGAAACGTCAAAAAACAAAGTTTGAGCGATTTTTATTTTTTACCTTTTTTGGCCACTAGCTGCGCCACCACTAGATCGATTTTCAAAAACTATAAAGCATTTTGGTCCTTGATCTAGTATTAGTCTTTTGTGAAAATTTAATTAAAACCTGATCGGTACTTTGCAAGTTATGGCAGGGTCAAGTATTAGCGGACAGACTGACAGAAATTAATGTAATTTAGATGTCATATAACATTAAAAAACATAATAGCTCACTTTCAAAATTTTTCACAATTTCAATACTTAATCGCAAGTGACTTAGGAAATGAAATCGGACAAAACTAAAATTCCACAACCTTATCATACCTCAAATTGCGCTAATTTTTTTCTAGATCGAACCTTCGGTCTACAGACGCGCTAAAAGTTTGAATTGTCGGGAAAATGTGTATTTTAGGGATTTGGAAACCCCTCCATTTTCTCGAACAAAAACTGTACAAGCAAATTAAAACTGATTTCCAAATTGCGATCTGATAATTCGTCCGGCAGATATTTCAGGCAAAAGTGATTTTTCTTTGAAAGTCTTTTCCGTTTTACTGGGGTTTTGCCGCCCAAAAGCAAATATCCATAAAGTTATTTTATTCGTAAAGAAAAAGGGCTAACCTATCGTCCGAAAGAATGTTATACTCGGGCTATTAAATTTGTCGAAAATTTGCAAAATTTTGTAAACTACATATGGAAGATATTTATACTGCGCAATATTTTCCTAATTTAACCAACAATGTAGCTCTAACCGTTTTCGAGATCACAACCTCATCTTGGCCACACTGTGCACTGTACTATTGGCTTTTTGCAAATATCTCTTAAAAGCTGAGATAGCCTATGTACATTGAGCAATGTGTTGGCGTATTTGTAACATAGCGTAACAAAAACACCGTTTTTATTAACCAAAGTCTAATTTAGTACTTTTACACCAATTTGTAACACTTATAATGGGTGATTTTTTTGCTAGTATCTTTTGGCAATACTGTTTTTGACAGATGACGCGTGAATCGTGTCTTGTGTCATTGTCAAACTTGTTCAGTTTGGTCTATAATTTAACCATGAATCGACTTACGAACGAACAACGCTTGCAAATTATTGAATTTTACTATCAAAATTCATGCTCGATTAAGAGAGTGCATCGAGCACTGCTTCCAATTTATGGGCAATTTGGTCGGCCTACTGAGGGAGCTATTCGGAAGCTTGTGACTAAATTTCGAACCCAGTTTACATTATTGGACATTAAACCACCAACACGCAGACGTAGAGTGAGGACTGAAGAAAATATTGCGGCTGTATCCGCCAGTGTTAGTGATGACCGTGAAATGTCGATTCGCCGCCGTTCGCAGCAATTGGGCCTCTGTTATTCCACTACGTGGAAAATTTTGCAACAGGATTTGGGTGTAAAACCTTATAAGATACAGCTGGTGTAAGAATTGAAGCCACACGACCTCCCACAACGTTTCCAATTTGGTGAATGGGCGCTGGAAAAGTTGGAGGAAGATCCACATTTTTATCGAAAAATTGTGTTCAGCGACGAAGCTCATTTCTGGTTGAATGGGTACGTTAACAAGCAAAATTGCCGCATCTGGAGTGAAGACCAGCCAGAAGCATTGCAAGAGCTACCAATGCATCCCGAAAAAATCACTGTTTGGTGTGGATTATGGGCCGGTGGCATCATCGGGCCGTACTTCTTCAAAGACGACAATGGCCGGAACGTAACTGTGAATGGCGAGCGCTACCGTGCGATGATAACAAACTTTTTTTTGCCCAAAATGGAAGAACTGGACTTGGCTGACATGTGGTTTCAACAAGACGGTGCTACATGCCACACCGCACACGAAACAATGGCCCTATTGAGGGGCGAGTTCGATGAACAGTTTATCTCACGGTTGGGGCCCGTCCATTGGTCGTCTAGATCGTGTGATTTAGCGCCGTTGGACTATTTCTTGTGGGGCCATGTTAAGGCTAATGTCTACAGGGATAAACCAGCAACGATTGACGCACTGGAAGCCAATATTGAAGCATTTATTCGTGAGATATCGGCCGATATGTTGGAGAGAGTGTGAAAAAATTGGACCTTGCGCATGGGCCATCTAAAGCGGAGCCGCGGCCAACATTTACATGAAATAATCTTTAAACATTAAATTATATCGACCGTTCTATTGACTCAAATAAAGATTTAATCGTTTTTTCAAATTTTTTGAGTTTTTTTTGAAAATCAAATCCTATACCTCTTAAAAAATCACCCGTTACTAATTTATGACAATTTACAACCATCTTGACTGGACTACGACAATCCGCGTTGTTTGACTGGGGACTGTATAGTCGACAGTGACTAACTACTTGCGGTATTTATTCCCTTATCGACGCATCGAGAAACATTCTAGCGTTTTCGGGGGCTTCCATGGAAGTGGTCTAGATACGTATCGAATACTCGCGATTGCGTCGCGAACGGCTCAGAATGCAAGCACGCTCCATTCATGGTCGCGTAGCTCTGGTTGCCCAAACGTCGACTCTGCCAAGCGACTGCGACTCCTCGCCGCTCAAGGTCCGAGCTATACCAGGGCGTTACAATATTTAACCTATGATTATATCAAGCTCCAATTACATACCTATAATATCCAAGGATGTGCTTTAAGCTGGATGCATTGACAAACTGCTCGAAGTATTCGTTGGCCATGGCCGCGTTCTGTCCAGAGATATTCCGCGTCCATTGGTCCTGTTGTTTGCTGTGAAGCGTTCCTACTGGCGCGGTCCATTGTCGAAGATGATGCCTAGATTAGTAGGTTATGTAAGGTGAGGAGGCGGCAGGAAGGGGGTAGGTTTGCTTCTATCGGTGATGTGACTTCTTCCGTGGCTTCATTTGAACGGCGGGTTATCTGCAACAAAGAGGAAATATTAATCATAGCCGTTTCAGCCAATTCCTGACCTTGAGATTGAAAAATGCTGTTAAACAGACTTGACACCGAATTTTCCACGTGTCATTCTACATCCTTATCGTTAAATTTGGGCCAACTAGATTGGCAACAGTGTTTTCGAAAAAAAAATCGTCATTTCATGATCAAAAATCCGCTTCAACCAACTTTCTATGAATGAGTCGCCACCTTCAGCCACATGTCTACGGGGTCTGCAAATTAAGTAATAAGACTGATTATTTTACTTTATTTTATTCAAATATAATTACAATTTTTTATTGTCACCCTCAAAATAACTTCCTTCTGAAGCCACACATTGCAGGAGACGGTTGTTCCACTCCTCAAAGCAGTGCTGGATCTCCGATACGGAAATAGCCTTCAGCTGGTCGGTTACAGCCGTATGCATGTTTTCTATCATAAAATGAGTTTCCTTGGGGAATTTTCCAATTTCGGGAAGAGAAAAACGTCACAAGGCTTTTAGTCAGGTGGATAAGGAGGCTGAGGAGCCACGGGAATGTTTTACTGGACAAAAATTCGTTTATTGATATTGCTGTGTGGCAAGGAGCATTATCGTGATTCATCACATAGTTGTTTTTGATGTTTCGCCTCACACGAATGAGCCTTTTTACAAGTTTTTCAAGGACTTCCCGGTAAAAGTATTGATTAACAGTTTGGTGTTGAGGTAGAAATTCTTTGTGGACGATTCCGTGGATATCTGTCGATATTTTTATAGGTTCTTGAAGATGTTCCCTTGTCTTCCCTCCAATCCTGGTACCACCTACGTTTTCCGTAATGAGCAATGGAGCGACTTTCTGTCTGGGATGCTTGACTCAAGTATTCCTCTCTGGAAAGTTGAAAAGTCGCTCAGAAACGGAAAGCGAGAACAACTCCCGCACATCCACGGTCCTAGGAGCATAGTCTGTAGGACAGAAGAAAAGGTCGAGGTTTTCGCTGATGCTATGGAAAGTCAGTTCTCTCCCAACTATGACCTTGATATTGACCTCGACGAGGAGCAACATATTGTAAGATCCGTCAGGAGATATTTTAGGGCCAACGGCGTCAGTGGCAGTAGTGCCTCCCTTAGTGATTTTTCCTCAGAGGAATCTTCAGAAGATTTCTCAATTGAAGAGCTGCACGGCACATCAGCGGAATCTCCTTAGACTCCGCATTGCACACCAGCAGAGCTCCAAGGTCATATTAAAGACCTCAAGGTACGTAAAGCACCTGGAGAGGATCGAATCACTAATAAGGCGCTGAAGCTACTTTCGTGGAAGTCCTTAACGTATCTAGTGGCAATAATAAATGCCATGCTAAGAACCCAGCACTTCCCAACGGCGTGGAAGACCGCTGATGTCATAATGATTCCAAAGAAGGTGGGTTCGAGATTCCCCCAGGATTACCGCCCCATTAGTCTACTGTCAGCTCCTTCTAAGCTCGCTGAAAAGGTGATTCTACGTCCCCTTGAAAATTTCTCGGCAGACAACAATGTGATTCCTGACGTGCAATTTTGCTTTCGGTCTGAGCATAGTACGGAGCTACAGGCCATAAGGCTTGTTGAACGAGTAACCAGGGGGTTCACCCGTAAAGAAAGTACTGGCATCTTGCTACTAGATGTCTCAAAGGCATTTGACAAGGTGTAGCGCAAGGGCCTTCCTACAAATTGATCCATAAGGGCTTCCCCTTCTGGCTCCTAAAACTTTTGAAAACCTTTCTCGAGGGTAGGAAATTTCGGATCAAAATTAATAACGTTCTGTCGACAGCACGGCCCATCAAAGCCGGTGTCCTTCAGGGTTCGGTTCTTGGACCAGTCCTTTATTCACTTTTTATTCATGACGTCCCTTGCCCCAGCAGCTGTGAACCTATCTCTATGCTGATGACACTGCCCTGGTGGCCCAGTCGTGCTCTGGGGATCTAGTTCACGACAGGCTGCAAAGTGCAGTGGACGAGGTATTGGAATGGGCGAATCGGTGGCTGATCAAAATTAATCATTCGAAAACGCAGGCAATCTATTGTACTAAAAAACGTAGCGGCACCCCGTCTGAGGTTTCAGTGAATGGAGCTCGGGTGCCATGAGAAAGCTCTGCTAAGTATCTCGGTGTCACTCTTGACAAGGGGATAACCTGGCAGAAGCACACTGAAGCGTTAAAAACTAAATTCCAAATCTCGTTTTGGCAACTCTACCCTATGCTATGTAGAACATCAAAATTAAGTTTGATCGACAAAGTTCGGCTATACAAGATGGTTATTAGACCAGCGATCACTTACGCAAGTGCGGCTTGGTGTTTTCTCGCCAAAACGCATTTGCGTAGCCTGTAGGTTTTGCAGAACAGAACCTTGAGTACAATCACTAACGCCCCATGGTATGTTTCCAACGAGACCCTTCACAGAGACCTTGACATCCCTTACCTAAGGGACTACATCAACCAACAAGCGCAGCTACGTTACAGTCAAGCAGAATCGCATAACAACCCTTTGTTGTGCGTGTCAGTAGACTACACAGTCGAGCAAGTTCGCAAGCATACAAGGCCGCGACTCGCACTGTGAACAAAATTAAATCGTGCGACTTTAGGTCCAACCAAAATTATAATTTTTCTTCAACAACCAATCCCAAAATTAATTTTAGGATCAATTTAAAATTGCCGAATACTAACTAGCAATGCCAAGGCACCCCTCAAATTGATGCACTTCTTTTTTCTTTGCTCTCCCTCCTTCCTTCCTTTCTTCTTCCTTTCTTTCTCCCTGACTGTTTGGCATCTGGGCAACCAGACCTGACAGACCTACTGACTTACAAGACTTCAACCAAGAGCAAAGGTCCTACGGACCGCTCTGACAGACAATGACGAATAGTAGTACTACCTACGTTGCCAGACTCATTACTTAAATGACAGACATCGTATGTCAATAAGTCGCAGTCCAGCAATGCTTTAAAGTCAGTAATCCACACCATTGCTGAAATTCAACCGCTTACAGCTGTCCTGCTAAATACTAATGTCGCAATGTCAGCCCTGTTCGTACAGATGTCGCCAACCTGTCAGTGATCCAAGATACCGCCAGACAATTCCGTTCATTCTACTATGCTTTATAGACAGACTTTACAACACCGGATCCCAGACACTGTCACCGACCACTGTACGAACAAACCGGTCATATTCCAGGCAGAAAGATTTACATGGGCCGATTAAGGCAATAGAATTTCGTTAATATCTCACATGCAACTCGTTTTGTTCTATTTCGACATCGATACGACCTTATTGCAAAACCCGTAGGACATAAGTTTTAAAATCCAATCAGACTCCTTTTTTTGAACTGGAAAAAAATGGGGTTACAGTATTTCTCTATTTTCTTTTACAGAACAAGATTATGTTGAGGATAATCTGATATTAAATCGCAAAATGGTGAAGGAGTTAGTACTAATTAGTGGTGATTTATTTCGAATTATGGTGGAAGCTGTATTGATTAAATACCGAATTGATCCCAAAAAGTATATCTAACAAGGTAGTCTGCGAATACCAAAAGTTCGAAAATTTTGGCTTGAAAAACGTTGGAATCGCCTTAAAATAAACTAGCCCCAAAATACTCTTCGAGGACTTTAGAGTAAGGTTTTGCAACAACAGAATCATGTAGGTGTCATGTTACAAACCTTCTGACGATGTGAAATATGTTGCGGTACAACCGTACTAGGCAGACAGATTTAGTCACCGTATATTCTATAAGTCTTCAAAACTTCGTTCCAGACTGTATGTCACATACGTGTATTTAGTTGCTATAAACTTACCAAGAAGTGAAGTTCATATTACGTACACGCCTGCAATTATTATTTTATAAGTAACCAGTCGTATCACAGAATGTTTTTACAAATAGAAATCCGATTGAGGCATGTCGTGACAAACAATGCATGTAATCATATATTATCTTCGATAGCAGGAACTATTATAAAATAAGTATCATATAGGCATGCATAAATCTGTGCCACCTTACGTAATGCGATTTTCTACACCTCGAATCAATCTTTTCCTCACGATTTTTAAATACATTTTTCATTATTATTGGGTGGATGCATTGTGCTGCAATGGAAAGTATTTTTTATGTCATGCAAGATGCGTACGAGGATTATTATCGACCATTTTAGCCACGTTCCAATATCTGGCAGATAGAAAATGCTAAAGTGGCGAGAAGGCCAATTTCAAGAAAAGGTTGATATAGGGGCCTTACGCAATCAAAAGAGGCATCATATTCGTGATCTACGGAACCGATTTATTCAAAAAAGGGTTTTGGCATGGACTATAAATACACAAGAAGATTTGAAAATTTTCTGTAACAGTACTCCTCCCAACTTCGAAGTTTCTTAAGCTAAGATTTCCTTTTGTCATCCCCTGTTACAAGCGAACCACACTGGGGTAATTTGGAATATTGATTACGAAAACGGATATTAACGCTCTAGTATCTGTATTGTTTGCTGGCTATGAAAATTCCTGTACCCTGGCTGTAGAAAGGAATGAATATGAGTGCTAAAAAGCACTGTTGATGTGAAATACACTGAAAGTATGGGCTTTGAATACACAATGTACAGGGTATTAATGATATGCCAATATTTAAGGGTGTAAATCTACATGAAAAATTAATGTTAGTTTGCTTTATAAACTATGGTTAAAAAATGCTGTTTTTTTCTCAAGAAATATCGAAGTCAATACCCATACACACGCCACTGTTACAGCTAAAACTTATTTTTGCATTGAAAAATATGCAACTTTATTAACTTTCTTCACTACGTACTAAATATCAGTGAAATATCTGAAGCGGTTCAGAAAATATTAATTTCCATTTGTTTCCTAAAACTTCAACACCACTAGTTTTTGTAAGGAACATTTTTGGACCATAGTTTATAGAGCAAACTAACACTAATTTTTCATGTAGATTCACACCCTTAAATATTCGAATAACATTAAGGAACACTCTGTATAGTGTCTGAATAAACAGGCATATGTTCTGGTAGATTTACTAGTGGTTGGCTATGGAAACCATTAAAGCTCGTCAATTAATATAATGAATCTGATTGAAGAAAAACCATTGTGAATTTATTTTAGTCCAAATAATCCACGACAACTTTCGTACGCCTGGTATTGAGGAAACGGTACTAAAATAGATGAGATTCATCATTGCACAAAATATTTTCATACTCGCATAAAACTGGTGAACTTCTATTCGTTATTTCACACCTGAATTCCTTCAAACATGGTCATGATCCTTTGAAACGACAAAAAACGAGAGTTTAAGTGGTTTTTTCGTTTTTGGTCTTTTTCTCCGCCACCACTGGATTTATTTTCAATATCTACAAAATTTTTCCGTCCGTGACACAGTAGTAAACTTGTGTAAGAATTTCATCCAAATCCGAGCAGTATCTTTTAAGTTATAGACGGGCCAAGAAAACTTTTATAGTATAAAAGTTCCGTTAACGTCATTAGCTGTTATAGGAGCACAAACTGGGTGAACTTGAGTAATATGGGAAGATGATTTAAAATATCAATGACCTGGCAAGAGGCCTGGAACGCTCAGACGGCTCGTGGCTGTACAAATGATTAGTTCCTAGTTTATAATAAGATCAATGACCGCCTCAATCTTACATGATTACACAGATTCTTAGCAGACACATAGTATTCACGCACGTAACAGAGGCAGCGCATCCTCAGACGTGTGAACAGTATTCCAAGCTGGGTTTAATCCAGGCTTTGTAAAAAGCTTCCGAGCGCTAAGCAGAAAACCCAGGTTATAAGTATACTAAGTGACATATAAATCCGAACACCCAGTTTAAATGGTTTTATTTTAATAAAAGTTGGTGAATGTATTTATCTTACTGTAAATAACAAGTGAAAAAATTTTCAGCCTTATCAGTTGGACATTCCGGTTTTTATACTGCTTTTTTTTAATTCACTAACGCTCTAAAAATTAATATTTCAGCCGCAGTAAAGAATCAACGTTGGCGGATTTTGGTTCTTGACATCCTTTACGATCGGTTACGATGCCTAGAGTACGGAGACCTGTACGATTTCGTCAACTTAGTGAGTTTGATAGGGGCCGTATAGTGGGACTTCGGGAAGCTGGACTTTCTTTTCGGGCAATTGCAGATAGAGTGCAAAGAAGTGTAGACACTGTGGTTAGGTGTTGTCAGGCATAGCTTCGAGAACGCCGTACGCAAAGAGCAAGGGGCACTGGACGCCGCCGTAGAACAACAGACCGTGAAGATCGCCGCCTAAGATTATTGGCCTTAAGGGACCGTTTCTCCACTACCAGGTCCATTGCAAATGAATGGTTTGCAGAACACGGAAGGCCTATTAGCATGCGAAGTGTTTACCGACGAATGAGAAGTTTTCGCTTGTTTTCATACCGGCCACACTGGGTCCTCCCTTTAACTCGAGAACACCGAAATAATCGCCTTGAGTGGTGCAGACAACGGTCACTCTGGGATCAGGAATGGAACAGTGACGAGTCTCGATTCTGTTTAGGCATGCACGATGGTCGTGCCAGGGTTAGAAGCCGACGTGATGAAAGGAGGAATCCACAGTTTTTTGTTGAAAGACATGTTCATCACACTGTTGGAGTTATGGTTTGGGGTGCTATAGCTTATGGTTCCAGGTCACCTTTAATCTTCATCAGAGGTAACATGAACGCGCAGCGTTATATCCACGAAGTTCTAGAACCCCATCTTTTACCCTATCTGACACCGTGCAGATCCAACTTTCCAACAAGATAATGCCCGGCCACATGTTGCAAGAGTCACAATAGACTTCTTTCAACATAATGATGTCACATTGTTACCATGGCCACCAAGATCTCCCGACTTATCCCCAATTGAGCACGTGTGGGATATGATGGGTAGGAGATTGCTCAATTTGCAACGTCCTCCTCAGACTCTAGAAGCACTTCGAGAGGAGTTGGTGGTTGCCTGGAATGAGATACCACAGGAGGACATTGACCACCTGATCAGAAGCATGCCTAGGCGCGTTGGAGAATGCGTAGCACATCAGGGTGCATCTACACATTATTAAAGGTCAAAGGGCCTTAAAGCAGTGCAATCATTTTGAAATTTTTATCATTTACTTATTATGCTTCATTAAGTACTTATACAAAATTTTATTAAAATAAAACCATTTAAACTGGTTGTTCGGATTTATATGTGACTTAGTATATATGGGTGTACTCATCAGATGGCTATGCTGAACTCTGCGTACCGCAGGGCTCAGTACTACGACCAGTACTTTCACTCAATTACACAAAAGTACGCAGAAAGATTTCCATCTGGAACTGATGGTTTTTAGTTTTCATTTGACGATTGAAGTTACAGTGTAGGGTGAGATTAGGGTCTAATGGAATGTTTTTGATCTTTAACTCGGTTCTTGGGTTTGCTGCAAATAAGAGAACAGTCGATCAAAAACCTACACGCAAGTGCTTAGGGGTTGCTTTTGTCTATTTTTATACGTGGATTATCTGTATATCGTAGGTCGCGTTCTGCTAAACATTACTACTGCTTAGGAGAGTTTGAAACCGTACCCAACTCTAAAAGGGTCGTTCTTGGGAACCAGTGAGTATATAGGCAAAGTAGGCCCTACAAGGTGACCTATGCAGCTGTGGCATCTTTTCTTAGCGGTATGCTTTTTTTGTTTTATTTAAACAACAGGTACTTATTAAGAACCGTAGAACGATAAGCTTTATACATTCATAATACCTAGCTAATAATGAGATCAGTGACCGCATCAAACTTACGTGATTTCACGATTCACTAACATCGCTGCTACTACTACCACCACTAGTATATCCTTCCATGCACATTTTTGTAGACACAGATAGTGTTCACGCACCTAACAGACAAACACAGTCACCGATCTGTCCGTCCACCGGATCGTTACAAGTCACAATCGATCCATCATGCTCCATTACGCATAATAATCGATACAGTTAACATAATTATTCTGCCACTGCTATTGACAACACAACCTGTTTATTGTTTGTTGTGTGCTTGTATATTGAATGGCGAGTGTATTTCTATGGTCTATAAGCATTCATTCACGTTTTCGTGTTTGCGTGGTGGCAGTACTGGAAATTAAAGTCCAGTGAGCTTTATCACTGATTTATAGGAAAAAGATCCCAACAGTGCGGAAGTAGGCGAAAAAGCTGACGATCTCCATCAGGTGGACTGTCGCACAGTATTTTCAGTTTTCAAAAAACAATGCCCAGCGTTGTCTGTAGTTGGTTGTGGTTACAGAGACAGGAAGCAAATATGCTCATTTCAAACAGTTAGAAGTATCCTAAAAGACTTTGGGAAAAATACAGGACATATTTCGGAGCATTGCTGTCAGCACTTTCGCATTCTGTATTAACCGAGAAATATGCAAGAAGCAACATGTATTCAGACTTTAAATATCATAGTAATCGTGACTGCTATGTTCAGGTGGAGTGCCTTGATCAATGCCTGAAGATATGCAGTTAAAATAAGTATTATAAGGACGCACTAAAAGGGATTGAAGACCCTAAGGCCATCTGTGGTCCCAGTAGCAGAAACAAACATTGTAATTCTGTTAAAGTAGATTTCTAAATTCTGATACTGTTACATAGATCGTGCTAGATGACGTCACTCTTGTTTACTGTCATTACAGAAGTCGAACGGTTATTGTAAGGTAAGCTAAGCTGTATTCGCTTGAGGCTGCCTGCTCAGGCATACGGTGAGGTTCAAATTTGGCTGACGTCGTAGATGTGTACGAGAGAGAACCGCGAGGAGCATCCCATATGTATGTTAGAAAGAGCGTGGAATTCAACAAGAATGAATAATGAAGTTTGTATTGACGGCGCATAAATGAGGTTTGAATACACTATAGGATGAAATGTTTCGAGCCGTTTATGTTGGAATGGAATTGGTGTGAAGGTTTTTAGAATCGATATAATCTGGTTCAGAAACATACACTTCAGACAGAGAAATAACGGGTGATTTTTTAAGAGGTATAGGATTTGATTTTCAAAAAAAAAACACAAAAAATTTGAAAAAAACGATTAAATCTTTATTTGAGTCGATAGAACGGTCGATATAATTTAATGTTTAAAGATCATTTCATGTAAATATTGGCCGCGGCTCCGCTTTAGATGGCCCATGCGCAAGGTCCAATTTTGGCACACTCTCTCCAACATATCGGCCGGTATCTCACGAATAAATGCTTCAATATTAGCTTCCAGTGCGTCAATCTTGCTGGTTTATCCCTGTAGACATTAGCCTTAACATGGCCGCACAAGAAATAGTCGAACGGCGTTAAATCACACGATCTAGGCGGCCAATTGACGGGCCCCAAACGTGAGATAAACTGTTCACCGAACTCGCCTATCAATAGGGCCATTGTTTCGTGGCGGTGTGGCATGTGGCACCGTCTTGTTGAAACCACATGTCAGCCAAGTCCAGCTCTTCCATTTTGGGCAAAAAAAAGTTTGTTATCATCGCACGGTAGCGCTCGCCATTCACAGTTACGTTCCGACCATTGTCGTCTTTGAAGAAGTACGGCCCGATGATGCCACCGGCCCATAATCCACACCAAACAGTGATTTTTTCGGGATACATTGGTAGCTCTTGCAATGCTTCTGGCTGGTCTTCATTCCAGATGCGGCAATTTTGTTTGTTAACGTACCCATTCAACCAGAAATGAGCTTCGTCGCTGAACACAATTTTTCGATAAAAGTGTGGTTCCTCCAACTTTGCCGGCGCCCATTTACCAAATGGGAAACGTTGTGGGAGGTCGTGTGGCTTCAATTCTTGCACCAGCTGTATCTTATAAGGTTTTACACCCAAATGCTGTCGCAAAATTTTCCACGTAGTGGAGTAACAGAGGCCCAATTCCTGCGAACGGCGCGCGAATCGACATTTCACGGTCATCACTAACACTGGCGGATACAGCCGCAATATTTTCTTCAGTCCTCACTCTACGTCTGCGTGATGGTGGTTTAATGTCCAATAATGTAAACTGGGTTCGAAATTTAGTCACAAGCTTCCGAATAGCTCCCTCAGTAGGCCGACCAAATTGCCCATAAATTGGAAGAGTGCTTGATGCACTCTCTTAACCAAGCATGAATTTTGATAGTAAAATTCAATAATTTGCAAGCGTTGTTCGTTCGTAAGTCGATTCATGGTTAAATTATAGACCAAACTGAACAAGTTTGACAATGACACAAGACACGATTCACGCGTCATCTGTCAAAAACAGTGTTGCCAAAAAGATACTAGCAAAAAAATCACCCATTAATTCTTTCTTCTTAATGACACCGACGCACAGACTATTCAAGAACGCAGAGGCAGAGCAATGAATCGATCGTTTGACATTATCATAGCTGCCATAAAAGTTGAGCATAACCTCAAATACCTTGCCATAAGCACAAGTGATGTCACTGCTGCTGATTCGTGGATCAAAGTATGTTTGGTTTCAGATAACATTTAATTCCTGTTGATTAATTAAAATCATTGATAGATGAACTAAAAACAAAGCAGTAATACTTCTATCATAATTTTTAAACATTTTATTTGCATATTTCCAATAAATAATTTTCCTTTCAATTCACATCAAAAAATGGTTACCACCAACAATCACTGAACTATAAATGTGCGGTCGCCTGGCCGAATAAATGGCCGTTTACAGTTATTAGGAAAATATATAAATATCTGAGTCCTACATAATTTATGAATCATTACAGCTAGGAAAAAGATATGGTGTGATGGATCTGAAAAAAATCCCATTATGCTTGGGCTGTCTGACGAATATGGAATCTCGGAGGGTGTTGAACGCAACCCACATTCTGCAGTAATTAATAATCCATTTCAAGGAAACAACTGATAAGATATACAGGGTGAGCTTTAGTATATGATCGGTCGGTAAGTCCATTACCCGTAAAAAAGGCATATAATAATTATTTTCAAAAATTATAAGCAACTATACGCTCCTCACTTGGGAAGCATGCTACTCTCTGGGGGCTAATTTATATCTACTTGGCAAAATAAATATGTTTTGAATGGAATACCTTGTATAGTTTAGTAAATTCTTAAAAGCCTTCTTGAAAGATAAAGTCTGGTTTAACATGTTATAGGGTTCGGATCTCTACTTCAGGAGCTTTTGTCAGTCACTTTTGACAGTCACTTTCTGTAAATAGTGGCAAACTTTTTTATTTATCATATATCACCTACATTAATATAACCCTACTACAGACTATCATACACAGGCGACACTGTCAAAAATCAGGTTCCATCGCCAACTGAGTCCTATGCGTTTCGTGGGATTCGTGTTGCTGTGACATTTAGGATTTAGGGGTAATCAAAAACAGTTTTATCAATACTATATATATATATAAGTACCTTTTCAAGAAATAATAATAATTATCTAGCCAAAATGCACGTAAGTAAACGAACACAAATAAATTTCTTGATTATGTTGTTTGACATATGACATTCGTGCTAATAACGCGTAACAACCCCTTGGAAAAAATCCTCCGCACGCTAGTGAACACAAGCGGGAAATGTGGTAAGCAGTTGGAGGACACGAAGATCAAAGGGACCGACAGCAGGTGTCACATTTCTATAATCTGTGACCCTACAGTATGCTATATTAAACGTCTTCTTTTGAAGAGGCCTTAATCAATGTACATATTAAAATATACATTATGTATATCAAAAACACGTATGTTTGTGTTGAAATAAAATATAGAGAACGGCATATTTTCCATAAGGAGCCTAAAATTTTCGTAAATAACTTTTTTAGACATCTTTTATAATAACGAGCTATCTACCGATCCCACACTAGAAACTCAACTTATATCTTTTATCTTATCTTTCCTCTTCATCATATAATAATATCTACACGGATGTTCCGCATCTATATTTGTATTTAAGAAGCCGTTAGTAGTTATTGAAATTGCACATACTTGATGTAGTTTAGGATTCGACTGACTGGTGATGCTGTTTTAATAGCTGGCTACAAGCACCTTTCTACAGATATATAAACGGAATGTGTTCCTCCAACCATATCGATAATGCTATCGCATGCTAGGCCTGCTAGTCGCACATGCCGCCTTCTGTTTCTCATTCTAACCGGAACTGCTTTGTTCTAAGGGTAAAAAGGTATACCAGAAGAGAATTTCCCAGACTCTGACCTGTTCAAAATCATAATCAATACGTTACTTTAACTTTCTATGGCTTCGTACAAAAAGTACACCAAATGTTTCATGTATTCAATTAGCTGGAACCGAAACCGTTCAATTTATTAGGAAATATCATCAGCATTTAAGCGTCAATCGCTCACTAGAAACAATGCAGATGTGCAGATGTAAAGTACAGAACCATTTCCAGAAAATCGAGGCCACCGTGTATATTGTTTGTAGAACCATTCATACCAGTTCAATGACAAATACCATTCACGTTGTCAGGAGTAATTAGCAGATACAACAAAAGAAAATGCAGGCGGAAAAGATTGAGAAGGTGAAACGGCGCACAATGTGGGAGTCAGATAAAACAGCGAATTTAATGTATACTATAAAAATGCGTCAAGCAGATTGACTTGATATATGCACAGATATTTTTTGATTGACGTTAATAATGTCCGAGGAAAATCCGTTGGAAAATGAGGCTTAAAAGACCACATACCGGGGCACAGCGACCGCTAGAAGGAGCTTAGAGGCACCTTGTTAATTCGATTTTTAAACTGCCTAAGGTTAGCACAACTGGGAAAAACCTGCAGCAGATTGTTTCGTAATATTGACACCTTAGGAACGATGGAGCGGTCGTACGGGCTTGTTCTGAATATAAGAAGTTCGACAAGGTTAGGATGGGAGGCAGAAGCCTGGCGGATCTGCCTGGCAACCTCAATGCGCGCCGACATCATGGAGGGGAGCTGTCACGATCGAAGTCTGTTGGCATAGCTGTCAAACGGATTAATCGTAAAAACGTGGCCATTTTTCAGGAAAAAAATCCTGAGTGAGTATCTTGAAATTAACTGACCT